TACCAAAATATTATTTATAGCACAAAAAAGTAGTACAGACTTTCAAATCTAAATGTTGTGTAAAAATAGACCAAATCTGGACTCAATGAGATGAACCATATTTATTTTAGAATGGTATTAGTGAGAAATTTCTTAGGCGGAGAGGCCATTTTGGCACATTTATCCATAAATGTCACCAAACTGTGCCAAATGTGTTTTTTACATCAATACTGGGGGTTTGTTAAAATTACGAGGTCACGTAGCAGCTGGACCCACCGGTGGGTCCGTAGGGTTCTAGGGGTTAACATCACGCAGCGTCCGGGATCTGTAGTTGTTCTCAGAGAAGCTTTGCCTTTTTTCAAAATAATAAATCAAACCCTGAAAGGGTGAAAGATCCAACATTGAGCCAAACTGGGGAAGCTTAAAGGGCATAGAGAGCGATCTGTAGCGTTAGCGTGGCTAATGATCGATTAAGTTTTACCTGATCTATTACAAACGTAATTACCTATATTTGCTATTATTTTATTTTATTTTTCATCTGCAATCTTAAGTAGCTGAAATTGGAAAATAATCATTCTTAGTTTTGAAGTAATACACTCCCTGTCTAACTGAGCTAAAACAGGCTAACCTGTCATTAGTCACGCTAACACTACAGAAGGTCCAGACTCTGCACACTGACACTGCGTGATGTTATTATCGCTGTCTGGGCAACAAAATGTTTTACGTCATGTGGCAACATTCAGCCAATCATATAGCGCAATGTCACTGGCATGCACAGGGCCTGGCCAGATCTGGTACGCCTACAATCAAAGCAGAGGTATCGCAGACTTTGAGAAGGGAATAAAACAAAGATCTTGAAATCAGTTCAGTTTTTGTTAAGATTGTGTGTTTTTAGCTTTCTGCTTATATATAAAGTCTTTCAAAACCGTGAAACATTTCCACTTGGCCAGAAAGGAATGGTTTATGTTTAAATAAACATCCGGGTAAATTTGTGGCAAGTTTTTCTTGTTTTTATTGTGAAGTTGGTCTTGACTTTTTATTTCAAATGGCATTAGAAAGTCTTGAATGAAACTTTCCTGATGCTGTAAGAAGCCTGTGAAAATAATTTTTCAAGATGTCCCATTTATCCTCCTCTTCCCTCAGATCTTAAGTCATATTTAAATGTCAAATCATTCTGGCTTAA